ATTCATCTAAATTTACATTAGACCCTGATGGTCTCAGCCTTGTCCACATTAACTCACTTTCTCTATGTATACTGCGGTTCTAAGGGACCCAGTCTGTTTGAACATTGCTTTAGTTCACTTTGTGCAAGGATAATAGTCTACCACAGTCGGGGCCATTCATAAAGAGCATTATAGAGGCTGTGAAGTCTAAGATCAAGATGCTGGTCTATAATGACACCTTTCCTGTGTTCTCAGGTGGAGAACAGAAGAACAGAAAGGTGGTGAATACTTGGTCCCCATCGTCAGAAGACTGAGGGAAAGGATCCATCCTTGCCATCCCTTTGCAGTGCCTTTCATCCATTCCTGAAGGCGAGGCACTCATGACCCGAAGCCCACATTCAGCCCTGCCTCTAACAGTCCTGCACTGGAGGTCAAGTTCCAACATCCATGGATTTGTGCTGACTCATTTGGACCATAGAAGTCGTCCTAGAGAAAATTACAATTGTCAATTTACTTATAATGCCATATTAATCAAATTGAATGAACACATAGCGACAAAAGTGTTGGAGTCTTAGTGAAACGCACATGATCTAGGTGATGGGAGATTCAGCCTCAGGGTCATTTTCACATCAATGAAATTTTTAAGGATTTGGTGACGGGTGACACATCAGGATATCGCCACTCCAAGGGACAGGCAAATGACTACATTTCAAACAATTGACAAAGAAGTGCAATACCTCATTAGCCTCTTTTGGTTCTGAGGACAGCGTGCTTCACTCTTTGAAACAATCCCATGGCCACTTATGAGTAGCACAAATGGCTTCCAGTCTGGTGTCCAGGCCAAGCATGTCTACTAATGTAAACCATTGTTTTGTTCATGCTCACCACCTCAGGGTCTGTCTGCTTCTGTAAACAGGCCTTGGGGTAGTGAGCGTTAGAGATAGTTACAGTGGGAGATGTGTGAAATCTGTGAAGGGGCTCCATACGGCATCATGGCATCGCGACACGGGGCTGTGCGTCATGGCATCGCGACACGGGGCTGTGCGTCATGGCATCGCGACACGGGGCTGTGCAGGAGGAAAGCTGTGTCGTGGTTTGGCCAGTTTAAAACTGGCTTCTGTCATACTGCCAGGCAGAGGAAGGCAGAACAGCTGGCGGTATTACAAAGGGACCTTGGTGATAGAACAATCCTGTGAGCTGGCTTAGCCCAAACCCTCCGACGATGGTATGCGATGCCGGCTCCTCACAGTGTGGGAGAGAATGTTTGGAACCTGCTAATGCCGTGGTGGGTTTGGGAAGCTCTAATCTCTAAGTCTCTGCCGCTGATGCACCGTTTTGCACCGTTTTTTGTTTTTTTTTGTTTTGTTTTGTTTTGTTTTTGTTTTTGTTTTTTGGTTCCTCACCTCCTATCTACGGCAGCACAATGTACGGACGGTTTCCGTAAGATCGTGGAGAGTCCAGCTGAGTATGACGGTCCAGGCTAAAAGCGAATTGTTTGCATACTAGGGTGCTGAATGAATTTATCCTGATGAGAATTTAAGCGGTGAGTTTGGTCATTCGTGTTCTGCAGGAAGGTAAGTTCGCACTAATTCACTGACATTAATGAATGGCTTGAGTAATTCATCTGAGTATTAAAAGATTAAGCTTGAATGCTCGTGGCAAGGAATCTTTGAAGGGATATGCAAATGTCCCTGTGGAAACAGGCACAGAGGACAAAAGTCTTCACACCACCCTATTAACAACCACCTGACCCTGTCTACTGTGGAGGAGACTCACCATTCACCTTGACAGAATGTCTTAATCGGTCCGTTTTAATCTCCCCCATCATTAGCAGCTTCGGGGCTTTCATCGAATTAACGCACAGATACAGGTATTTGGTAGTAAGACTAGGGGGTCCGCATGGGATACAATGACAGTTCTTACTTCTCTTCCCACTGACAAACATCCAAAGAAAAAATTCATGTTGAGTCCTTGACTTGGTGCCGACCCACAAAGGGCATAAGTAGTTCCCATACTGGCATATTCATCTCACTGCAGTGCTTCTGTTAGGGTGGACTCACTGGAGAGATCAGCGCACCCCCTGGAGACTCTCTGATACACATTCCTCACACACATGCTAAAGGCTTTAGACTTTTGCTTCATCCGAGACGTTGTATGATCTAGCGCCTGTCTAAGCTCTGTTTTATAGGGGGAAATATGTGAAATAAGCATAGCCAGGCGTGACAGAGACGACGCAAGATTGTAATCCCACTGCTTCAGAGGCTGAGGTGCGAGGAGCAACAATTCGAGGTCCACCTAGGACACACACCAAGCTCAAGGCTGTCATGGATTAGATGCTGAGAGAAGGCATTAAGAGGAAAACAAGAAAGGAAGGAGGGAAATAGAAAAAGAAAAAATGATAGCCATTAATCCTATCACATGCAACAGCTCTAAGATAGATCAAGTGATCCTTTGAAGGCACGCTGTACATCTGGGGTATCGATGTAATTATAACGCTTGTGATGCCCACCCATCTGAACAGTGTTTGCCATAATTCTATAATTATTACAAGGTACTAAATCCACAGTATGTGACACCTAGAGATGGACTCGTAGTAAGCTAATTACAGGAGTAGAAAGACAACTACTACATCTTCTCTCATTTGTGGATCCAAGATTTTGCAGAGCTGCATGGAATCATGCATGCATATGACATGACAGTGGACCAACATGGTGTTGGATAGCAGGGAAGGCTGAGGGGAGGAGGAGGTGAGAGGGTCCAGGGTACGACCTGAGAACACGCTCAAAGTACGTCATACACTTACACGGACCCAGCGCCACGTGCAATGAACATAGGCTAATTAAAAGTTCAAAAGGAAGCAGTGTTCTTGCTTACCTTCATTCCAAGAGACCTACTTAGAGAATTTCATTTCGTTTTCCTTTTATCAACTAAGTCTGGGTTTATAAGAAGAAAATATTTTTAACAGAGGACACAGAGCCACTAAAGCTTCAAATGACATCTGATACTGTAGTATCCCTTCATATTTATGGTGTCCCCCCTTCCCCGCCCAGAAACAAAACAAAACAAAACAAGCCATGAGCAACTAATGTCCTGTCAGGCCTAATCTGCCCAAGTCACAAGTAGGAGGTAGGTCTGCTGTTCCACAGTGGAGGTAGGGAATCCAGGTGATTGCCAAGGGCAACTCTGGCAACTACCACAACCAAGTCAATCAGTGGCTAAGTATACTAAACAGCCTGGAGAAGTCATGGTGGCTAGAGGCATCAAAGTCACCTTGTCAAAGACTCCACACGGACAAGCAGAGGTACTGAGTGATGGTAAGGGAATACCATCTTAACTGAGTAATAGAGGAGAGAGAGCACGACCAGAACACATCTCTGGGTTAGACTTCCATGGCAGGATGCTACAGTCTGTGCTATGGAACATTTTGTTTCCCGCTAGGTAAAAACAATCACAGTCCTACTGCAGCTACTCCCCAATAGGGTGAGACAGAATGCTACAAAATCTAGTGGTTCTCAATAGACTATAATGACAGCTGTTGGGTGGCACCCAGTTCCCCAAGACAATCCTTCTCTAGCTGCCAGGGGTGCTGTCAGCCAAGGGCTCACAGATTGCAAATCGACCCCAGCTGACAGTCTTGGCATCTCACATGCTCATCTATCCTTCCCAGGAGCAGGCTTCAACAACCACTGGTTAATATGAGAGTCCAAAGGCCCAGCCTCCCTGCTCCAACTGGGTGACTTAGGAAGGAGCAGCCAAGCTCTACAGGTCTCGTTAGAGCAGGCTAAAGCCTCCAATACACACTATTTATCTGTTTATTGTGATCCACACATTCTTTACTGAACTCTGCTCCCGTCCATGTCTTACTGGCAGGGATCCCAGGACCTTTGGTGGTATTCCTGGGAGGACTGTCCTATGAACTGTGCAAATAAACCTGTGTTAGGGTCTAACCACATGCCAATCATGGCATTGTTACTTACTCATAAAGCACAGGTGATGAAAACATAGGATCTGTACTTCTTAGGCTATAACTTTCGTGCTAATTTAGGCATGAAATTAAAGGTGTCTGAGGGCCAAAGAGTTGGCTCAGGGGGTAGAAGCTCTTGCTGCGAAATCCTAGCAACCTGGGCTTAAAACCCAGAACCCACATAGAGGCTGAAGGAGAGAACTAGACTCCATAGAGGTGTTCAATATACATTATGTTATGCGTGACCCCACCACACACACCATGTGCACACACAAACCATAATAACAAATTTTAAATTTTGTATCAGAACATGAGTATCAGAGAAATTACAGTGAACTGCCTTAAGAACACCAAATCAATATTCTTTTTTTTTTTTTTTTGGTTTTACGAGACAGGGTTTCTCTGTATTGTTTTTGAGGCTGTTGGTCCAGCCCAGCCTCGAACTCACAGAAATCCGCCTGCCTCTGCCTCCCAAATGCTGGGATTAAAGGCGTGTGCCACCACCGCCCGGCCCAAATCAATATTCTTAAACTCACTATATTAAACTTGTAGACTTCATGATAACTGTCTTTGACCATTGAAATGCTAGCATATAATAAGAATTATTGGAGATTCTTTTTGATGTACACGTTGACACAGATCAATAAAGATTAATGTATAAAATTGCATAGAAATTGCAAGGGAATTTTAGGAGACATAATGCTGTATCATTAAAGCTTTCCAAAAACTGAATATTCTACTTTGAAAAAGAATGAGTTCTTTTTTTTAAACATTGAAGATGTGTGCTGCCACGACAAAAATATCATAAACTGGGTAATTTATAAGGCACACAGATGCATTTCTCAGAGCTCTAGAGGGGAAGTCCAGATCAAGGTGTTGGCATCACCAAGGGTCTGAGGTGAGAGCAAGCTTTCTGGTTTAATAATGGCACCTCCTAACTACACCCTCACATATAGAAGGTGTGTACGGCCTTGCATTTTGCACTGGTTTCATTCAAAAGAGCTCTGACCTCATGACCCCACCCGACAACCACCCTAGCTTCTAATACTGACACCCAGTGGGTTAGAATTTTAATGTGAACTCGAGACAGGAGCTAAAAACATAAGGAAAAAATCATATGTTTGTGGACATTGTCAACATAAAAAATAAACTATGAGATGTGTTTTAGTTTTCTATTATTCCTTAACAGTTTATCACAAAATCATCAGGTTAAAATGCAGAAACGTATTGACTCACAGTCTCTGTGAGTAAGAAGTCTGGTGGGGTCTGGCTGAGTCTCAGGTGGGTAGCATGGAACAGCCAGAGCCACAGTGTCACCTGACGTCTGGATCCTTCGCCTGAGCCCACATAGTGGGGGACAAGGTGCACAGTTACTTGCAACTATTCGACTGAATCCCCTCTCCTTGTCATCCTGGCCCCTTCTAATTACTATAGGACAGTGTAAGTCCCTTGCCACGAGGCCCTCATTAGGTCCACATCACGCTCTGATGATCTTTGAAGACGGATCCAGGGTCCTTCCAAGGACATCATGATTACGTTATTTCCCACTAGGATTAGGCAACTGCTTGGCAACACCACTGTTTGCATGGTGGCACATCGCACTCCGGATCGAGCCCATGTTCAGTAGCAGAGGCATCGCGCCAAGGGAATAGGCATCTTGGAAGCCACCGAAGAATTCTGTGACACAGAGTGTTTTTCACCCAAGCATTCAAGTCACGGTGATCCCTCACAGGCCATCACTAAATTGAAGGTCTCCAGGGCTGTGGCACAAAGTGTCTCAAATGACGCCATCTCCAAGTCCGTTGGTGCTTCAGAAATTCCTTGGGAATGCTGGGGCGGGATCTTTGAGTGTGTTTGCCACAGTGGTTCTCAACATGTGCGGCAGCCCGACCCCTTTGGGGGTTGGAATGACCCTTTCGCCGGGGTCACCTAAGACCATTGGAAAGCACAGATACTTACATTACGATTCGTAGCAGTAGCATAATTACAGTTATGAAGTCGCAATGAAAATAATGTCTTGGCTGGGGGTCACCACAACATGAGGAACTGTACTAAAGGGTCGCAGCAGCAGGAAGGTTGTGAACCACTGGTTTAAATACAGTGTGTGTGTCACCCTCACCTTCCTGGACACCTCAAAATGCTCCCAGACCTGGGGGTAAGCTGGAATGGGGGGCTCTACAGCACCAGAAAGGACAGTCAAAGCACCCGGACATTGCCTGAGCTAGACAGACATTTCTGGGAACAGACCAGACTTTTCAGGGAGGAAATCTGAAGCAGTCCAATCCTCTTCATTCTACTCTTTCTCTCCACTTTCAGATTCTCACTTGGGACCAGAGCGTTAGAATATTTTGTGCAGAATGACAATAGTAGCTAAACGGACACCCTTTTCTGAAGCTAAGCAGAGAACTGCTGGGCAGGAGCTTAGAGACCGAAAGCCACACACCCTAAGAACCTGGCTTCAGACGCTGCCAGGCTCCAAGGGAGGTGAGGCAGACACAGATATCCCTCACCCTGACGCGCCAGCCCGATCTGCTCTCATTGTGTGTGGTGCTGCGCCCTGTGGCCAAGGCCCTCCAAAGCGGACTGGAAAGGATTCGTTCGGCTTTATCGAAGTGTGAAACTGGGAGATGCATGGATTCTCCTGCCGTCCTGGCTCCCAGCCTCTGCACCGTCGGCACTGAGAGTTGAGCCAAGCAAACAGATCTTTATCTTTGCTCAGTGAGCAGCTTCGTGTGCAGGAACCAAGCAACCTCTGTAAACAAGTGTTCACTGCTGGGCAGCTTCTAAACAAGGGGACGTTTCCAAGGATGCAGATCTTCTGTTAAAATCATGGCCAGGTGAATGTTAATCTGGACAAGCGTCCAAACAGAAAACCAAAATGTGTTATTTTCATAGACAAGACAGTAACTTAATACATTTGAGCTCAATATTTGATTTTTACCTACAAATTCACAGAATTCAAACTTGTTCCACTTGGGTACGCGGTTGTTTCTAATATCTTAGAAAAGTATTAAAGAGGACAAAGGAAAGCTTCAAGGAAAATTTCGCAAAAGCTATTTATTTTCTCTATTCAGAGATTACTACCACTCATGTTTCAAATTATACCCATAACAGCTTCGGTATATTTCATGTGTATCATGCATGCTGCTTGGTAGATTGAACGTTTTACATAAAGATACATCATGCATGAGATTGAGAGATAGCAAGGATCGTAAATTTCTCCAAACCTCAGCATCCACTCTTATTATTTCTCTGGGATCTTCACCATGAAGCCTTTTAGAAGATAGACTCTGTTAGGCAATCAAACTATCAGTCCTTTCCATGGAGGATTGCCTGAGAGTACTTATCCTTCCCTTTCTTCTAAGCCCATAGACTCATTGTATACTTATGGGAATCTAAAAGCCTTCTTTCCCACCAGCTGCCCGGGTCCCACTGCTATCTCTGCCCCAAATAACACACAAGACACTATATTAATTATGAAGCTGTAGGCCATTTGCTATGGTCTGCTTTATGTATTAACCCATGATTACTAATATATATTTCTATAAGGACTTATTTTTCTGAGGATGGAATCTGACACATCCTTTCTTCCCTGGGATCACATGGTAACTCCTACTCTTGACTACATTTTCCAGAATCCTTCTCAACTCCTAGTCCCACCTATCTTGCTTCCCTATTGGCCAACAGTGCTTTATTCATCAACATATACACAGAAGAACTTCCCCCATCACCTTCTTCATAGATAACATAATTATTCTGTCTTTCTTTGGTCATAACTAGTTATCCAACATCTAGCAATGTCCAACCTCTGTTCTCCCATCTGGAGAGTTCTTTCAACAAGGAGAGAGAATGATTTCTGTAATGCTTTCCTCTATCATAAGGATCATCTGTACCTGAAATTTTAATACACACTTTCTCAATTAATTGAATATTTGAATAGTTACTTTACATAAATCAGAGTATCTGTTTCTGTATGGACTGTGTTCTTACTCTGTTGGAATATTCCTTCTTCTCAATGTCTTACTTTAGATAAGATGATATTAAATGTCCATACATGTTACTCCTTCAAAATGATTTCCTTATCACTTTCAAACACTATTTAACATAAAGAGACAGGGATTAAGGTATAACGTTGCAAAAAGAAAAAAGAAAGACAATAAAAAAGAATGAACAGGACAAACAAAACCTCAAAGTGACCAGAACATAATTTACGAAATGAAGTAAATCCCCACCTATCAACAAAGACAGTTAACTTTCTCATTGGTGCATCAGTGACGCAGGTATTACAGAAGCAACCGATACCTTTCTGATTGGATTCAAAGCCTACCCCACAAAGCAGCATTCATGCTTGGTATAATTAATGAAGCCAAAAGCTAGGTCCTAGGGCCTAGAGGGAAGCCTAATACTATTATACTGCTACATGGCATTAGCGACAAACATTCCCTTTCCTAAATTCTCATTTCCACACCACAGGTTGGTGCATCTCTCGGCTCTCATCACAGAAACGTCTCTTTTCAATAAATGATGGCTGGTGCAGAGGCACGGCTGAGCATGGTACAAAGAACAAGGGACTGTGGGCTGCTAAGATTCGAATGGGGTATCTATGCCATACACTTCCTCCGAGGCTCAGAGATCACTGCAGCAGGGGTGGGTTCCTGAGATACCACCCCTACCTGAAGCCCTGTTAGCAACTTATGACTGATGGGGTGGGGAGGGAGTCTGTTTTCCTCAAAGTAACCTCTAGGAAGCTACTTGTGTCATGCATTTCCAGCAGTAAATCACCTCAGTGGGTTGTAGAAAAATAGCATATAAATCTGGGAAGGAAAAGTGGTAAGTGGGGGAATAAAGGAGAAACCAGAGGGGAGAGAACAGATGGAAAGGGACCTTTATGCATGTGTGAAACTCTTAGATAGTAAAAAAAATTAAAAATGAAGTTACTAATATATAAAACCAAATGTAATATTTAGTATTTACATGGATTCAAACAGGATTAATTGATAGAAAGCAAAATTTAAGATAGTCTTTGGTAGAGTGCATCTCCAATAAATAAACTTGATGTTCTAAAAACGAAGGTGAATAATGTTGCCTAAAAATCTATGTAAGCAGATATTTTTATATAAGTAGTGAAGTTCTAAGTTATTCACAGTCATTGTGGAAATAGAATAGAGGTTATTTTCTTTGATATATATTCAAAACTTAAACCGCACTATTATCTAATACAACATCTAGATTTATATTCAAAAGAAATGAAGTCGGTATCTTAAAAAAGATCTACCCACATATTCTTCTTATAGCATTATTCATAATAACCAATCAGACACACACACACACACACACACACAAATATTATTTTATTTATGGAAAGACAAAAGAAAATCTTCATTTCTAAAAGCATAAACATGGAAGACATTTTGCTAAAATGGACTAACTTAGACACAGACACTCAGACAGATATACTACTAAGTCTTTGTTAATACACATGGTATAAAGAACTCAACTTAAAGCAGGCAGTCTAGTAATTAGCAGGTACTTTTGTACAGGACAAATACAGAAACATTAACACTTTTGGTTACAAAATGAGTAAGTTTTGGGATCCAATGCGCATGGTATGGTTACTACAGTTAATAAAACAGCTTGAAAAGAGTATGGAGAGTAGGGTCAGTAGAGCCTTGACGAAGACGGGGCTTGTCTGACATTTCTTTTAGGGACCCTTTTGTTCTAAAATGCAGGCTCTTGGGGTACCTCCTTTTGTCTCACTCCCTGGGCTTAGTTTCTCTGGGGACACAGTAAAAATGTATTCAAACTATGAGTTGAGTATCCTACATAGGAATACCTCTACAGCCAAATTTGCCTGTTCTCTAAATGTGTGGTTAGTCATATTCCCAAGAGTGTGGTGTCAACCCCAAATTATCTGTCAGGGATATTAGGAGTTGGAGATCAGGGGTGGGCAATACTTTCACACATAGATATAGCTAAAAAGTACAAATAATGTATGTGTTCATATAACTCCTATTAGATCCCACAGATGTGAAATTTCCTTGAAATAATCATTTCTCCCTACTTCTTCCCTTCTCCCAGTTTTGCAATCTGTTACAGCCACATGCTGTAGGGTCCTGTCTAAAAATACTGTTGCATGTGTTTATGTGAAATTATTGCACCATGAGGATAATAAGAGGCAGTACCCTTAAAAAGTATCGTGAAACAGTAAGAGCCGAGCTGGCAAGTGGAATACTTAGTTTCCAATTTTCATTCTGTCTACAATTAAGTCTAAAGACATAACCCGTCAATCCACAATTAAGTTTAAGGACTTAACCCGTCAAAGGAACTCTAAGCTTTGACTCTTTGTAAGTGAGCAGTTGGGTGCCATGCTACCTGAATCTGCTCTAGACCACAGTTACACACACCTATCTGATGCAACACTATCGAGGAGGTTTGTTTTGTTTTGGCTACTTCTATTCATGAAGTAGTTTTCTTCTTTAAAATTCTTCAATGAAAAGCCGCTTATTTGGCATATACACAAAAAAAAAAAACAGAAGCACATGCGTGAAAAAGCAGGACCGGAGACAGATAGGAGAGCAAGAGCTCAAAGCCGACAGGCTGGAGAGACGACTCATTGGTTAAGCGCACACTCTGCTCTTGCAGAGTTACTTTCCCAGCGCCCACACTGGGCAGCTCATACCCACCGTAAACTCTAGCTCCAGGGGATCTTTTATCTTCAAATATACACCCCAACATATTTGAAATTTTTGGTTTAGTTTTTAGTTCTCTTAAAAATTATCTACAACTTATTTTCATCATAGTCACTCTCTTCTCCCAACATTAAAAAGAGTTTAAAACCAACCTGGGGTACACAATGAGATCTATTATTAAAAATAACAAACACTAATGTATCCATATGTATATTTGTGTTTCCTGAGACACGAATTAAAATTTTAATTTCAAAGAAAAATTTCCCCCTTCTTAACTAGATGGCAAATCCAGTTCCTGAGGACCACATTGGAACAGATGACAGAGGTAAACTCTGAGATGGAGAAATGTCTGTCATGGGAAAATTCTTTTCCTAAGAGTAAATTTCTTAAACCCCAGTGGTTTTCAACCAGGACTTATGCAACTTTCAGGGTACATATTAAATGTCTGCAGACATTATGGTCTCACAGCCCGTGGGAGCAATGTACTGGCAACTTTCTTTTTCAATTTTGCATCCTGACTGCAGTTTCACTCCCTCCTTTCCCTCCCATTCTCTCTCCCAACTTCCCCTCTGTACTCCCCTCAATCCACTCCCACTCTATTTCTGTTCATAAAGGGACAGGCCTCCCGTGGATATCAACAAAGCTTGGCATGTTAAGTTGCCGTAAGACTAAGCATCCCCCCTTGTATTAAGAATGGGCCAGGCAGTCCAGTATGAGGAATAGGTTCCCAAGAGCCAGCTGAAGCATTAGGGACAGCCCTGCTCCCATTGTTAGGAGTCGACCCTGCTACACAGCTATCACATGTATGTAGAGGGCCTAGGTGGGTCTCATGCAGGCTCCCTGTTGTGTGGTTCAGAGTCTGTGTGTTCCTACGAGCCAGGTTAGCTTCTGTGGGTTTTCTTGTGATGTCCTTGACCCCTGTGGTTCCTACAATCCTTCCTCCCTCTGGTTGTTTGAGATATGTGAAACTCCATTGAGAAGATCAGGCTCCAGGCAAGCCTGTAGAGCATTTTCTTAACTAGTGATAAATGCGGGAGAGCTTGGCCCACTGTGGGTGGCCCTGTTTCAAGCTGGTTGTTTCTCTCTGTTCTCAGACTTCTGTGATGGGAGTCTCTTCAGTGTAGTTCAGATAAGCACTAGGTAGAAGAAAAGGAAAGAGGAAAAATACAATTATGGAGGGGTTGAATATGAACAATATACATTATCCGTATTTCTGGGAATGTCAATTTGACACAAGGAAGAGTTATCTGGGAAGAGGGACCCTCAGTTGAGAAAATTTCCTCATCAGATGGTCTGGAGGTCAGTCTCCCAGGCATTTTCTTGATCAATGGTTAATGTGGGAGAACCCAGCCCACTGGGGTGGGACCAGCCCTGAGAAGGAAGTCCTGGGTTGGGTGAGAAAGCAAGCTGAATGAGCCAAGGGAAGCCAGCCAGTAAGTAGAGTTCCACCTCAGTCTCTGCTTCAGTTCTGGCCCCCAAGCGACTGCTATCAGTTCCTGCCCTGGCTTGCCTTCATGATGGGTTACAGCTGTAAGGGAGCTAAAACAAACCCTTCCTTTGGCAGGTTCGTCTTCTTCATGGTGTTTTATTCAGCAACAGGAAACAAACTAAGACATGGTTTGGAAGTTTTAAGTTTCGAAAACTAAGTTCTTTGGCAAGTTTGTTGGCCAGTAGACTACCAGAAGTGATGTCAAAGGCAGAATTAGAAAGTGACTTGCAGCGACAGCTTACAAACATAATTAAAACAAGTTGTAGGAAAGGATGCTGTTTGGTGGTAGACCAACTTTCCTGGCATGTGTGAGGCTCTGGGTTTGATCTGAAACACAACAAGGGGGAAAATCTACTTTGGTTAGCACAATGAATTTTGGTGGAGTTTTGAGACCAAAATATGTGAATGATATACACTTCACTATCTGCAAAGTGGGTAAATGAAAAGCTAATGCTTTAGGGCACACATGTACTTTTCATGATGACCACATATTCTACAACAGTTTTTTGGTCCTTCTGTACGGAACGGGCAAGCAAGGATGTGACAGCAGGTAAACGTAAAATCAACCCCTTCCCACACTTTGCGCACTCAACACAGCACTGAATTAATTTACGGCCCGCGGGGATGCAGTTAGGAAAGCCAGTGTGGAGGCATCATGCAGAATACTTGAGCTTGATCTGTAGGACCCGTTCCACTATAATTCACCTACAACCAAGGATGTCTCCTCAGGGGCAAAGTAACAATACGCTGTGAACACACCTTCATGACAACGTCCAGCATATTACTCATTTTCATTAGGGTTACACTTTTTATGTCCTCTTACAGCTTGATTCAAACAATGAGTCCTTCATCAGGAATTGCAATCATATCCAATAGTAGCATTATGTTTTTTTTCCATGTTTTTAATCAAATAGATATCAAGAGGCCAACGATCACAGACATTATCTCTACCTGAATTTCGTGCTCTTTAGAAAAGATAAAATATTCAGTGAGAATATTTAGAGTCAACTTTTAGTGTAAACATACGAGTTGCATTTATTTCTTGGATCAGCACCCTGTGAATACGGCAGGCAGAGGCAAAACTGAAAATTGCACATACCTCACAGCATGGAAGTACCTCCTTCTCACTTGCTAAATTTGGCAGCCGTGGTCACGGAAGTGTTGATCTGCGGCCATTTCTGTTGATGTTTCTTTGGCCTCTGTGTGACCTGATGGTTGTTGGGAGTAGATGAAAATGGGACACTTCAATTCCACGGAGTCAGCGGACGACTCTCACGATGGATGTAGCGTGACGTCCATTTCGGGGATGAGAACTTGATGCTCCATAAAGCTTTGTGGGGTGTGATTACCACAAGGCAGGGCAGTTTGGAGGGAGACTCATCACTCCTAAAAGCAGCCAGGAGGTGAGAAGAGTGAACCATTTCGTGAATCATTTCAGTAGCTTGGCCAAGAAACCTGGAAATGTCTGCCATATCTATCAGCGGAAGGAGGCTGAAGCAAAACAGAATTTGAGGATAGGTTTTCCCCAAAAGAACCAATTTCATGTTGCCTTAAGATCAGTTATATGCACCCACTAGAATGTATTAGAACAATAAGCTGTGTGGCCCCTCAAAATCCGTTCGGGAACTAACCATACTATATACAACAGACAGGCTTAATAGCCATCGTTAGCACTTGGCAGAGCTGCTCTTCCGTGGAGTTAAGAACATGGATATTTGAGTATCTGAGTGTTTTCTCAATAGGCCATATGCTTTTCCTTTAATTTTGTTTTCTTTTCTTGAAGTAAAATCGTGTATTTATAACATAAGACACATATTTAACCTTATTTTCTCTATTGAGTTTGGTAAATTTTCAGACCTCAAATTGTTTTACCATTTGATTCCAGTTCACTTATAAGGTCCTTTGATTTCTCCTCCATTAAAGGTATCGTGTGTGTGTGTGTGTGTGTGTGTGTGTGTGTGTGTGTGTGTGTGTGTGTGAGAGAGAGAGTGTGTGTGTGTATGTGAGTTTCAAAATACATTTTTAAAGGTGTATCAAAGAAGTGTATATTCTTTACATTTAAACTCATAGTATATGTGTCTGACTTTTTGGTTTCTTACTCTGTTCACATAATATTGTGCTTTAACAGAATTCTAGTCATGTGTTTTAGCCCGATTTCTCCTGAAAGTCTGATATGATGGCTTCTACATGGGTTTTATTTGTGAATGACCCAGAGTACAGCATAAGCAGAAAAACAACATGTTTTTATAAGAGCATTTTAACCATCGGCCAATCATTCAGCTTTCTGTTGCATTTTCTCACATGATTGCAACAGCAGACATTTTTGAATTTCAAAAGATCAGCAAAACATCTTTTCTGTGTTGAATTTAGTGTCTAACTATCTGTGAAGACAACAAGCACTATTGGTCCTCATTGGATATGGGAAGATGTGGGACAATGGTGCTGTTGGCAATGCCTGGACCTTTTACCTGGCTTCCCACCATTTTCCCAGTGAGTACTGTTGGAAAACATGGACTATAAAGTCAAAGAATAAGGCCTCTGAGCCCCGCCATTGCCCTAGTCGGCCACGTTAGGAGCTGTGTGCCCACGTACAATCCCACTCCTCAGAGACACCAAATCTCTGTCTACAGATCACTGAAGGCAGTGCCTCCCTTGAGTGCTGTGTGGATGACCGAACAAGAAGACAGGTATGGGAAAATAACAAACATGTAAATATGTGCAGCCTCTGCCCTTCCTACCACACTAAAGATACAGAATGGGTGACCAGTTATGTTGTCTGTGATGGCAGCCTCCAACTCATTTACACAAAACCCCCCTGTGCTGACCTGTGAAAACCTGTCCCCTAGATTGGGTCAGCATTTCAGACTCCTTTGATCTTAGGCATCTCAGTTGCAGCACGTTATTTTATCCAACTACAGCAGACTCCCCTGTTGTGCAGGACAGGGCCTGAAGGACCAAGCTCAGCTCTAACATACCTCATTTTTGCCTTCATTGTGTTGGATCAGTCACATGGTTCCAAACATAGGACCTAAAAATTAATATTCTGTGTGGTAGGCAAGGACACAGAAGGCGGTCCTGATGGATTCGTCACCTCTACCAGTTAAAGAATTAAAAGGCGGGAAACACCTAGAATGTAACAGTTAGTTGCAAGGAAACCTCTGACAGGGCAGCCAGCATCAAACGGCGAAGAAAGGCTCACACTGGAGATGAAGAAACATGCTCACACAGCAAGGTGTACACAGAGATCTCATGCAAAACAGACAGCAGATTTGGGAAGATGACATCTAATCTCTCCTTGAGGGCTGGGTATTTAAGGGTCTTTGGGGGGGGCAGGGAGCCTTCTTCCCCTAAATTAGGGTTAGTCAGTTTTAACAAAGATAGGGAGGTTGAGAGCAAACATGCCCTACTCTGACCTATAACTCTCCAGGTTGCTCTGCCTGCCCGGAGTCCCTGGCAGCAGGAGCAAGAGCCTGCCAGGCCCGCATCTCAGGTCTGGAGAATGAGGAAGAAGCAAGAAGCTTCTGCGCTGCTATCTGTGCTCCTCTCCTGTCATCCATCAGAGGTCTGACTGACTCCCAGTCCTTAATATCAGCAGACACTAGTGATGATTAGCCATGGATTTTATCTTTCCTGTGGCTCCTGGGAACACCCAAGGAATAGTCCGAGGAGAAACTATGCACTAAGCTGAAACAACTGTGTATTAACATGAGCACAGTAGTTTATCTCCCTGGAGGGAAAAGCAGACCAGTTAAAGCATCTTTCCTGTCCTTCCAAGTAGGGTGTAATCAATTACATTAGAGAAAAATAATGGAAGGGCGGGTGAAAGGGAAGGCATGAACATGTAATGCAAAAATATAATTTCTGTATTTGATATGAACACACTTGCAAAAGCACATCTAGCACACATGCATATACACATGCATCCACATACAGACAGAAATAAATGTGGATTTGTGTTTAGTATGTTTGCACGCACGCACCAGTGCGCAAGCGCTCCCCATTCCAGGTATCCTTATAAATCATAGGCACATGGAATTACGTTCGTGGTGCCTGAGATTAATGATACAGAAGTGTTTGCTATGGCAAATACAGTGTTGTGAATTTTCAAAAACAGAATGGAAGCTATGGGTCCACTCAAGCTAATGCTGTCCCCCCCACCTCAGCTTATTTCTCAACCATAACATTCGGTGTCCAGATTGGTCCACTGAGCCCGCGTTTGAAGACAGGAGGTCTGGCTTAAGCTCTATAGTGTGCATTTTTCGGAGTGCTGACATTTATATCCCGCAATCAGCATAACGTTGAAACACTAGAAAATTCACCTGGACAAAAGGTCGGATGACAAGGTCAGTCCAATTATTGGTTTGTCAGTTTCCAGGCAAATGGCAGCTGTCATTTCCACACAGTTGATACAGGTCTCTCAGATTGAGCAAATGTGAGTTTTATACTTTTGCCGTACAAATCAGTAGTATAACTAAGCTTTTACAGGAATCCATGTTTAAGGGCATGAACTCTGATGGACACTGAAGAGAAAAAGAGAGTTTTAGGAAGCGTTAAGGACATCCGATATGTTCTCAAGGTATGAAGTCGTTTCTCTACTAAAATAGTAGAGGCAACAGAAAGGCGGAAAGAAAGGAACCAAGCTCATAATCTTCAGAAAGTTTTCTAGCAGCAGTGGAACGCAAGGAAATGTCTGCTGCTCAGAAACTCGGTTCTCCTAAGCTGAATGAGTTAGGCATAGTGTGATGACGTCATTGTTTTGTTCAAATGGACAAGGAGCAAAATGAAACTCACGTGGACATGGTTAGAAGATTATACTGTTCACTACAGACCAGATCACTCACCTTCTACACTCTGTTCAAATTCCTGCCCGTACCACCCTCCACTCTCCTATGCATTCCCAAACACGCTCAGCTTCCTCTTGTTCTCCTAAACACTGGGTCCTACCTCCAGCCAAGGATCAATTTGCAATTGATACCTGTTTCCAAAAAAAAAAAAAAATCAGATTTCTCCAATGGTGTCTCCCTGGGAGCATCAATCACATTTGAAGGCAGGCCTTATGCTAAGAGTAGTTCACCAACACAGCATGGACTCCGGTGGTATTTTTATGTACTTTTTTCTTGTGTTCTTGGTTTCGTTTTATTTTTGTTGCTTTTTGAATATAGAGTTGATTGGGTGGAGAGGTAGGGAGGTTCTAGGAGGAATTTGGGGAGGGTAAAACATGATCAAAATATAGTTCATTCAATTATTAAAAAGGAAATAAGGGTGACCCTTTTGCTATATTATAGAATCAAATTAAATCAAATGAAGACGTATTTATTAATCATATATTATGTACATGATGGTATCCTAGCACCATGGCTAAAAATTTTACACGCAAGAATTATTTTATGTTTGTCTAGTCAGGAGATGTTAAGCTTACTGGTTGCTTTAACAGAAAGAAAGTCATACATACATACATACATACATACATACATACATACATACATGTGTATGTAATGTATAAAGCAATTAAGGAACCAAACTACTGCAGAACTGAAAATTCAAAGAAATTTTCAGATATGGGAAAAGCTATAAGACACAGTTTGTGAACCTCTGGGGGTGAAAGGTCAGAAAAGGGGTAAGCTTGCTAAAACTTATCATCTTGAAGTTGCACCCCACAATTCTGAAATTCAGAACCTCCAGAACAGTGGTTCTCAAACTGTGGGTCCTGGCCCCTTTGGGGGTTTAACTACCCTTTCACAGGGGTTGCATACCAGACATCCATACTATGATTCTTTTTTTTTTTTTTTTTTTTTTTTTTTTTTGGTTTTACGAGACAGGGTTTCTCTGTATTGTTTTGGAGGCTGTCGGTCCAGCCCGGCCTTGAACTCACAGAGATCCGCCTGCCTCTGCCTCCCGAGTGCTGGGATTAAAGGCGTGCGCCACCACCGCCCAGCTATTATTCTTAACAGTAGCAAAATTACAGCTAGGAAACAGTAATTCAAATTGTATGGTTGGGGGTCACCACATGAGGAACTGTATTAAAGGGTCACAGCATTAGGCAGGTTGAGTACCGCTGCTCTAGAAGTGGTCAGGCCACAGATAGTGATGTGTTCCAGTTCACTGGAGGAGTTGTGTGGCTTGATAACTAGCTCTTCAGGAAGGAAGGCTTGGCTGGCTGGTGCTGGGGTCTCTGGCAGGCACGGTGTCAGTTTTGCAAGTTGGAAGGCTGTGAATTAAAATCAAGAGCTCCAGTGAGACTCCCTGAACCATCTGAAGTACAGCAAATTTACAAGTGTGACCCTGACAGGAACAGAAAACAGTGAGTAGCCCTTCCTCTTTGAACCTTCCATCTCCTCTGGCTTCCCTGTTGCCAGAATTTAAAAGCTAGCCAACTATCTGGGAGAAAACATGACTGAGAAATATCTAAAATAAAAAAAGAAGAAGAAAGAAATGTTCGTCATCCTTAGCAATTGAGGTATGGCAGATGAAAATAACTTTGAGATTTCATCTTACCCAAGTCAGTCAGAATGGCAAAGATCAATAAAATGTGGACAGGTACTAGAGGAGGTCCAGGTAAAGGGGAAACCTCACTTGCCGCATCTGGATTGCCAACTGGTGCAGCCACTGTGGAGATCAGTGTGGAGAATTCTTTAGAAGCTAAAATAAATCTACCAAAAGGCACAGCTATGCCTCTCCTTGGCACACACCCAAAGGACCTGATGTCCAACCTGGTAGATTGTTGTTCAGCCATGTTCACTGATGTCTGTTCACAATACCTAGGGGATGGAATCACTCGAAATGCCCTTTGGTCATTGAACGAGCAATGACAATGCAGTACATAGACACTATGAAATACTACTTAGCTGTAAAGACAACTGAAATCATGAGCTCTGCATATAAATGGATAGGACTGGAAAAGACCACACTGAGTGAGGTAGTCCAGACCCAGAAAGACAAACGTCAAATGTTCCTTCTCACTGGAGGCTCCTAACTCGAAATCTTCAGATGTGAGTGTATATGTATGGTGGAGTAACTACAGACACATGGAAAATAAAAAGAGGCCGTCGTTGGGTTGTGGGGGGAGGGGATCGATAGAGAGGCGATAGCAGGGTACTAGTGATATGATGAGGGGAAACGAGAAAGGGAGACCTGTTTAGGCAGGAAGGAGAGAGGCAAATATAGAAGGAGGGAGGTGAAATAACAGTTTAGATGTCTGAGAAAGTCCTAAGAAATCATACTATTAACTATACATTAAAAATACAATAATCTGTCGGGCAGTGGTGGCGCATGCCTTTAATCCCAGCACTCGGGAGGCAGAGGCAGGCGGATCTCTGTGAGTTCGAGGCCGGGCTGGACCGACAGCCTCCAAAACAATACAGAGAAACCCTGTCTCATAAAAACAAAAAAAAATACAATAATCTAAGTCTATCTATATATATGCACGTGCGCGTACCACACACACACACACACACACACACACACACACACACACACACACACGTTTAAATGAAAATCTCTCATCTGGGATAAAAACAGCCAAGAACCAAATATCTAAATAAACCCTAAGACCAGACATGAGGACCCCTCTTTTGAATTGTTGACTAGAGCTGCTCAAGAGACTTCGAAAACTTACAGAATATTGTTATTGCCCTTGGTTGCTCCCCAGAGGTGGAAGATGAGTCCCTGTTGCTGAAGACATCGTGCACTTCAGAAACAGGGCTCAGAGGCCCCTGAGGTAAACTGACCTGAACGTCCCCTCCCTGAGGTCTGGCTTTCATGGTATCAGGAGGTGCTAAAGCAGGGAAGTTCCAAAGGAGGGAAGCAACCAATAGTCCCACCCAGCTCTGACACTTGTGGACCACAACCAAGGTCGGCATGGCACGATATAAGCCTAAGGGCGCAGTAGAGGCGCACATACCCACGTGGTAACCAGCGGTTCTCTAACTGGACTCAAAAGGAATGACAAGGAACATCACTAGGCGTTTTAAGAGAATGTAAGTCAACGGGACAAAGCAAAGGTCAGGGTGTCAGACCCAGTGTCAGAGAGCTCAGTCTGAAGCTAGGGGCAGTATCTTGCTATCTGTTCCCTGCTTGAGGCGTCCAGCTTAGTAAACTGACATTTGCAAATTATTACAGAAGGTAGTTTAATATTTGCAAGATGGGGCAAAGGGAAGGCGCGGCTGCCCCTGCAAAATCTAGTAGATGGGAAAATAGTAAGCACTTCCTCTTGGAGCACATCCGGTTTCAATCATTTAGTGGCTTGTCTCCCAGAGTCTGCAAGCATCCTTTGGTGTACTGCTTCTGCTAGCCCCAGGAGCCCCCCCCTCCTTCCTCTGAGACATCAACAGCACTTCTTCAAAGAACTCAGGGCTTTATAAAAGGCAGGGAAAACCAGACTTCACATACAATGTTGCTTTAGGATCTACAAAAACACCTTGGAGCATGAAAATATTAAGAAGTTATTTACTTGCTTGGAAAAAATGGGAAAAATACAATTAATATTTTAATATGCTCACTTGCAACACAAATACAGTGCTTATGGGTTTGGAATAATTTAATGAGAGTTGAATACATGTAAGTGAAAATGGTATTGCATATCAAAATTAAATGCTATAACCCTGACTTATACCCACTGGGACCTATTCCAAGTATATCATCTCCCAAGTATTTAGACTGGACATTCTAGTGTCTAGAATGTTCTCCCTGCTCTGAAGAAATTGAAATGGTGACTGTGTCCTTCCTGCCAAACTGCAAGACTTTTGATAACAAAAAGCTGTTTTTCTTTTGTTTTTATCATCGTCACAATTTTCAAGATGCCTAAACCACTGATTTCTCCAGGCATTACATTGTTTTTGGGCTCCATGAAAAAAAAATGTTTCCAGCTCTCGGCTATTTTTATCAACGCAGAGAAAGCTAGTCAGATATTCTCTTTAATTCCAGTCCTAGCTTCAAGGTCCTCGGAGGTGAAATGGACAGGCTGTTTGATTTACATGTTAAGTGCTATTTGCCAGCATGCTCTGTGTTCATTAGACCCTGGCTACATTGTGGAGTTTGGGTCAGTGCTCAGGTGTTGTCTCCTGGGGCTCTATTTAGGGAAGGCCTTGGGAAACGAGGCTTCTGTTCTTTAAAATAGTCGCAGGGACATCTGTCACCAGCAGCTGTGTCAACGCAACGAAGTCCCTTTCTGAGGGACTTGCTATGGCTGTGTGTCTCTGACACTACTACCTCTGTTTCGCTTAGTTTTTAAAGTTCCACATTTGGGCTCTGGTCTCTGCTTGTGGACGGATTTCAGTGACTATTATACCCCAGGGATAACTGGGCATAATAACAACAAAAGATTCCATCACAGGGCTGGGAGATGGAGCCGCACATCATTATCAGAAACAAGACAGTGGTCCAGAAGCTCCGTGACTTGTAATGCAACACAGATGAGAGCCAGCAGACCAAAGCTAGACCAAAGCTACTTCCTTCTTGGATTTTTACATTTGAGACCCACTCCCTACCCCAGAAATACAACAGCAAATCTGGCTGTAAGATCTGTCTCCGCCCATTTTGTTACTATGGTCACACAAGCATTTCTAGTTACTCAGAAGGAACCTTCCCATGCTCCACAGTGAACACTCATTAGAAAGAGACAACACATGAAAAGCATTCCCTTTCAGTTTGTCCTGATGCAATAGGGGACACAGCGATTCAGAGTCTCAGGTTTCCTGCCTTGCTGCTTGTGTGTACTTCAAAGGAGAATTAACAGAACTACACGGCATTTCTGTAATTATGCACAAAAGAGTGTGCTCCCGGCTTTTTGTTTGTTGGTTTTGTTTCATAATAGATGTGTGGCTACTCTTGTCAAGTTCTCTTACCCCCAATATAAGAGCAGTAATCTTTGTGATGAGGTTGTTCCCTTCCACAACCCTAGCAACACCCGAGAAGAACAGTAAATTAAAGCCTGTGCCCAAGAATTACTAAGATTTTTCCAGCCTCTCCGAGGCAAGGAAATTTATGTGATGAAACCAGGAGCTTTTTGCAACCTATCTCACAATGTGCATTGTCGGCACAGTAATATATGTCTTCCTCTCTTTTTCTGTGTTATCCAGCCTCCAAAGGTCACAAAAGCTAAATCCAGATACAATGACACCCGGTAGCATTTCCATTGCCAGGAGACTACTAGCTGAGCATAATGCAACACATTCATTAATGCAGAGTCAAGTCTCTTTGAGTGTTTATTACACTCCTGAGCATAGGCTCAGATCAGCACATGTTTGCTCTAAAGAGGGAGCTACCCTGAGTGGAAATAACAGTGCAGGTGTTAATCATGGTCTACACTATACAGAGTTGAGCTTGGCCTTGGTTGTTGTGTTAGCTAAGGCAAGAAATTCCAGGGTAATTCCTAATAGATGGATTTCTTTTCATCTTAACAGTTAACCCCTAGACATGTTATCATGTTATGTGTGTGCTCATACACACACACACACACACACACACCCTCCTGTGAGAAACAGGTATTATACTACATAAAACTCTACAGTGAATTCCAAATTGAGCTGTTGGTCTAGGAGTTCATTAACCTGGGTGAGTTCAGAAAGCTCCAGAACATATCTGTTTCGGCCATCCCAGTGTGCTAGGAATAGCTTAGGAGCATTATTGGAGTCTACTCCGAAAGCATGAACAAAAGGGGAAGAGGTTTCTTCTTTGTTATTTCCCCTTGTTTTGAAACCATCACTTTTTCTTATTCCAAGTGAAATCTAGTCTTTTTAGAGAGATTGGTTCTCAGCAGCATAGTTCTACGCTCACTCAACTGCACTTGCTTTCATATAGTGCATTACTAAAAATCAAGTCTGATACCATGCAAGTAGAAGACCTTACCCCATAAAACCATAGGCCAACTAAGATTTGGGACCATCAATTCTCCCCAGTGTGGTCTCTTTAAAACTAAAACTCAGAGGGTTCGTTGCTGCCTGGCTTCCATGCCCAGCTAATTCAGTGGCACTGACGTCTCTACTGGTTGCATCGACCAGTTCAGGGTGAGAAATAACCTGGCTTCTCCAGAAAAACACACTCATGGGACACAAAAGCAGTAAGTAAGAGGCAAGTTCAGGTCTGCCCTCCAAAGGAGTGTGAAGTGTCAAGACTCCGGGGTCACAGTGAACCCTGGAACACCGCCAGCAACCTTCTGTCTCTGACAAAGCTGCTTTGCTGTTAGGAGGTGCGAAGGTAAGGAATCTCATTGTCGCATTTAGCCCGGATCACAGGGCGTGGTTTGATCACATTTAGCCCGGATCACAGGGTATGGTCTCCACTGAATGTTCACACTTAGGTTCCAACCCATCAGTTCCCTGGAGGAGGGAAGAAAATGGTGTTATCTGCTAACGATGCAACTTCCAATCCTATCAGAGAAGAAGCCACTGAGGTAAGAAGCCTTCCTCTAAGGAGGAAACCGCCATCTAGGTAAGTTCAGCCTCGGAAGGCTTGGGCACAGAGAGATGAATGGGTTTACTATTTCTTCAACTGGATGTTGAGGACAGAGCTAGGCTCAAAGCCAAGGATCCTAGCTTTCATTCCCATTTGTACTTCTGAGTCATCCATCAAAGAGCAGCCAACTTACTTTGTTTGTTTTGGTTTCCCATTTATTAAATCGTAACATGAAGGATCTTCTGGTGGGTCCTCAAAAAAGAAGCTGTTCCCAACAGTCTGTGTGGCCCTAACCTGGGTGTCATTAATTCTCTAACTAAAACAGAGAAAATCATGTATAAAACTGGTCTTTTTTTTCCCTAGACTGAAAATGCATATTTTGTGTGCTGCTGAGCTTCAAGGCACAGGTTCGGGCTAGCAAAACCAGAAATTTGCATAGGAGTTTGGGATGGTGCGGCAGTGGCCTGTGCCCAGTACCCTGTAAGGTTTATGCCTTGCTGCTGGGGGGTTCATTTTGCTGAGAGAATCGACCACCAGGTGAGGCTCACAGAGCTCTGGCTTCCACAGATCTTTCCTTCCATTTCCTGTTGCTGAGAATGTGTGTAGCTCTGTGGCAGATTCCAGAGGCCCCTGCAGCTCTTGATCACCGAGAGCCTAGCACGGGCTCCAGTGGGTCTTGGTGGAGCCCGTTTTGTCCCTGAGTGCTACACCATGTTCCTGTTGTATGTCCAGCTTTCATTCTGTGGCCTGCCCTGCCAATCCACAGTAATGACAAACTGTCCCAGTTGTAGAAGAAAAGGCATCTCTTCCAGTCTTTCCGCTCATGGGTCACTGACAGCAGCTCTTCTCTAAGCCCTTGACAATCTGTCGTCTGAACTTCTAACTGCCTGGGATAATTATAGCATCCATCTTTCATGTTGATCGTTTATCTCAGGTCTTTCATTGCCCGACGAAGTTGTCTCGCAATTTTGGGAGTTGAGAGTAGAGACAGAACACTAAACGCTGAGTGCTCTAGTCCGCAAGCATTGACTAGATCACAAGGTAGTGCGCAGCTGCTCAGGCTGTCCCGTAGCCAGCCTTGGGCTCATGATTTCTAGGCAGAAGCACGTGAGATCTGCATTATACTTGGGCCTTCCATGACTTGTATGATCTTTTCTGCAAGATGCTTCAATCTCTTCAAGGAGATCCAAGATTCTCAAAGAACAGGAAACTGGCAGAACTCTTAAAGATTAGCCTGAGCTGATAGGATATCATTTCCACAGCATCTGATTGGTCAAAGTAGTCACAAGTATCCCATATGTGTGAGCATAAAAAAGAAGCCACTTAGAAAATTATCAGCCATTTCACTCTACCACAAAACTAAGCAGATCTTGTTGAATGAGCATTGAGTCCCCTTGGTTAGAAGTCCTCATGAGTCCTTCTTGTCACTTTCCCTCTTCTGTGTTTATTTACTCATCTATCTACTCCTTTATGGATATTTTATACACATCTATACCTCAAAAGTGCCAAATCCTTTCAATTGATGGTCATCTCCCCAGATGAGATATGAGCTATTTGGAATAGAGTTGATTTTTACCTAATCCTGTTCCATAATGTCCTCAAATCTTTAGTCTCTATGAGTTTCAAGGCCAGAATCCCTGTTTTGTGCAGAGGGATAAAACAGCAATGATGAACACTATGGTCTATTGTGGGTGTCTCTTCGTTCACCAAAGCCAGCAGAGTAACAATCCAAGTGAGATTAAGAGGGCAGTTCAATTCAACACTACTCAGTAATCGACGTTGTTTCGAATTTTGAAAGTCTGACACTGACAAGCTCACTTTAGGCATAGTTAGGCACAGTGCAATTTTGGAAAAGTTTCCTGGTAACAATTAACTCAACCCCGTGTGGACAACAAAGCTTAGGACAGGACTACATTGAAACTCTTGTAGACTACAAGCGACCCTTTCCATAAGGAGAGGCTCATTCCATAGATTAAGTGAGAAAGAAGACTCAAGGTAAACAAAGCTCATGGCAAGGGTCTAGGGAGGACAGTGCTATAGATTGACTGGTGTGGCCTGGCCAAACAGATAGTGCAGATGTCACCAGGAATTAACCACATCTGTTCCCAGCCTTCAGTTATGTTTCTACCTTTAAAGGGACAACCCTGCATGTTTAACATTCCTGTTTTCCCTAGTGCTTATCTGTGGGCACAAGCACCTACTCCTTCTACCGTCTATCATCCCTCTTGGTTGTGGCTCTACAGAATCTGTCCCCTTTTATTGCACATAATGCATTCAACCCCTCAGGATAACTGTCAAAACCAGGTATGTAAAACATACAGACTATTCTGTTATCTTCCTTATAAAATCAGTCAGCTGGGTCCCAAGTAATAGCAGGAGGAACCTTTCCCATTGAGTTCATCTGCCAGTACCATCATGGCAAATAAACTCCAGGGCTTACACTGTTGGGGAATGACCACAATGCAATGGTCTATTACAACATAGATACAGACACACACACACATACACACACACAGAATCACACACATACACAGACACACACAGTCATACCCACAGACACACACAGAATCACACACATACACACACAGATTCAAATAATTGAAATTTTAATATTAAAGCCGCTGTTTGTACTGTTTATAATAGTATGAAGTTTACCTGCAGAAAAGTTATAAGACTTTATTGGGGAAATTATAAAATAAAAGATATTGGAGAAAGAAAACATGGGAGATGTTAATGGAACAGAAGAGGAGGAGTCAGATACACAGAGAGGTCGTCTGCGCAGAGCAAAACTCAGTAATGCAAAAATCACCTTTCCTAGAATGGAACTAAGGGAGCAACAGGTAACTGGATTGCATAATGAAACCTCATATCAAACAAACCAAAAAGAAAAATAAAGTAACAGCAATTATAAAAGGTTAGCTTGACTTTAAAAATACCCGAAGATCAGACATATGAGCATGGCCAGTGGGGCAGCTCAGGGGAAATAGTGCTTGATACCACAGTGGAAGGAGAGAACCAGCTCCCTCGGGGTGTTCTCTGACATCCAAGTGCTTGCCTAATGGCATGTGTATATCATCTGAAAAAGAAAAAGGGTGAATAAGACCGTGCAGACTGCCAGTGGAAGTATTTACTAGTGAATAAAAACTGAAAGTCTAGGGATGAAAGCCCACGTGTCCATACGCAGAGGATGACAGGGTAGACTTACGCCAGCGTGTGGTTTAACTACGTGTTACAGCCACACAGCCTCAGTGTGGAGCAACCTCGGGCATGAAATGTTCATTTATAAGGCAAGCTTTAGAGGAACCCACGTCTATAAAACATCTTGTATGAATTTTAAAATGCTATATTCTCTCAGATAACGTGTTTAAAATGCACAACAACAGCAATGAGCCAGCAGGGGACGTGAAAGCCAGATTAATAGTTGCCATGAGAAGTATGGTGACAACTGGTTCCCTGCAGGTCACATGTCCTCCCACTTGACCTTCTCACCCCTCACCCAGCCTCAGGCTGACAGGAACTCACCTGGCATGAAGAAAAAACAGGCCAAGTGAAAACTGCAACAGTTAACAACAAAATCGCCCTGCCTTACTGAGATTTCAGGGCTTATATGTCACGGTGACTACCGCTTCCCAACCTCAACAGATACGAAATCAATACAAGAGTCTGCTTGTCTCATCCTGTGATGGGATCCTTGGCTGTGCTTTGTGGATATCCTCACGGCTTAAATATTTTACCTCCTGGCTTACGCTCTAGTGTGGGGACTGAACTGAAGACCTGAGGATGGAGGGATAAATCTTTCTGAGTAGACCCCCCCACTGGGTGGAAATTATATGAGAAATGAAATCGACCCGCACTTAGCCTTTCAATGAGGAGCAGCATCCAAGCCTGAGGGTGAGGTATGCATTAGAGCCACCAGGGACAAGCTAAGTGTGGAATCCTACGGAGCCGGAAAAGAAGGCTTGTCCTTAGACAGTAACAGATCAAATGTTTGTCTTCAAACAGTGGCAGAAGCTAAGAGGTAAATAAGGGCAGGATTAATCCAAAGAAACATTTGGTGATCTCCCACTGGAGAGCCACCCCCGCAGCCTGGCCTATGGGCAAAAGTCCAAGTGCAGATATCTCGTCCACCTGCCCCCTCCCCACCCCAGTGGAGGTCGCTTTGTCGCCCGGCCTTTGGGCTGCACCTACAAGTGTTCTTCCTCTCTGCTTGCCGTATCCTTATTCATTGCTTGTTTTTTTATTGTGAATGTTTCCACACAACTTTAACAATGTTACCTTTCACAGTCTGAAGTCTCTTCTTGCTTTTCTTTCTTTCTCTCTTTGTGGAATCCTTTTAAACGTTTCCTGGCTTGAGTTATTTCTCTGTGTTGGCTGACCGTCTACTGGGTAGAAAGACCCACATGTCTCTCTGGAGTCTCAATGTGTTAACCATTCTCAAACAAACAGACAGATGTGCCTTCCTCGTCTTCCAGGAGAGTGTCAGGGCCTCTTGCCTCAGAGAGTTTCGTGCTTTCCCTTTAGCTCTTATATTTTTAACGATTAAAAAAGAACACAGATCCTTTGAGAGTAATATGAAATTGAAATTAGTTTAAAGGATATTATGATATATTCAGATCCAGAATTAACAGAGAGATATAAAATATTTAAAGTGCTTCATTTAAATTACAAGGCCCTTTTGGCAGATGCATCAAAATGCTAAATATATGCCCTACCCTATAACAGACTGCTTGACCAAAATTATCCCAACAACTATATATAATCGAGTCTAGCGGAGTGTGTTCTGGAAAGCAATTATCAGGTTTCCTGTTTGCATCCTCTTTTCACCGTCAAGTCGGCCCACTTGGGCTTTTTCAGCTGTGTTAAAGTACACTGGGAAGCGGGAAGCCCATTATTCAATATCATGGGAGGATTAGATGGAGATTTTTTTTATCACATCAGATTCAGCTGCTGCTATTTTTAGACCCAGGCTTGCGTGGACTCTTAAGAGCGGAAAGTGAGAAGACCATCACACCTGTACTCCTGTGTCCCGCTACCATTAGTTCTCTTGTTTGGGGGAAGGCGTCACACTTTTCTCCAGGGACACCAGGGATCCAGCCTAAGCCAGTCAGAACAGTTCCCTAAGTGCAGGGAATGATGAAGAAAAGAGGAAGTAACGCCGTCGGATACGGTAAGAAAAATAGTTGGCAATTTCTTGATCTTTGTGAATGTCTATAAGCTCTGGCATAATCAACGGTTCAGAACTCGAGTAGATAGTTGATGGGGCGGGCGGGGTCCCGTTAAAGACAGCAGGTCACCCGGGCAGTTTTGAACGACGCACCTTGCCTTGGTTTATTCCCTTCTTCCATGAAGCCAACAGCTGCTCCCCCATTCTCTCCTCACCGTGGTGGATGGAAACCTATGATCCGTGACAAAAACACATCTTTCTTTTGAAACTAAAATATAATTATATCATTTTACCCCTTCCCTTGCCTTCCTCCATTAATTAAAAAAATATAAATAAGGTTGAAAAATTGAACTAGGAAGTTTGATCTTTACCAAAATTTAGGTCAGACCATTATGTAGACCTCAGTTATTGAGATTGTTTACTTGAAGTTAAGTACTTTATTCTAGGCATGATGTCAAACACCTTTAATCCCAGTGCTTGGGAGGCAGAGGCAGAGGTGGATCTCTGTGAGTTGGAAGCCAGGCAGGTCTATATAACAAGTTCCAGGCCAGTCAAGATTACATAGTGAGACCCTGTGTTAAGGTAAACAAACAAACAAATAAGCAAGCAAATAGTTCCCTTTATCTGGTAAATAATACTATGGACAAAGTATACAAAATAATAAAGAATAATTTTGAAAGCACTGAAATGTTGCCACCACAATGTGGGATGTCCTTCTTTATGCTGCAAGTATGGGTTGCTTTTATTGGCTGGTAAACAAAGCTGATGTGGCCAATGGCCAGGCAGAAAATCCAAACAAGGGTACAGAGAGAAAGAAGGCAGGGCTAGAGAGACAGCATGTAGCCACCAGAGTAACAAGATGTGAGGTAACAAGCCACAAACCTCATGGTAAAATATAGAATAATAGAAATAGGTTAATTGTAAGAACCAGTCAGTAATATTCCTGAGTCTGTGGTCAATCACAATTAATATTATTAAACCTTAGAGTGGTTATTTGGAAACTGGCAAGCAGGAGATGAACCTCCATTTACACGTGTACATCAACATGCAGAATAAGTTCAAAATTTAAAGAATCAGACAAAAGGGTGTTAAAACTGGTCCATGTAAGAGATCATTTGGTGAAGAATGGAATAAGGTGGGGTTGTGGATTTGTGGTGATAGAGGAAGCAGCATTGTGATTATTAGACAATGGAAATAGAAGTAAAAATAGTTATCAATGCAAGATTTGTTTCCCATGAAAGAAATCTATTGGCAAAGCTAAAAAAATAAGTAAATAAATAAGTTAGTTGTACTTGTTGAGGTGAGGCTATATATAAACTATTGGTTCAAGTACTTTCATCCTAGTATGGCTTGTTTAAGTTGTAGCAATTTCATCATGAACTACAAAGGGCATAACTAAAAATGATCCTTATCATGAACTATCAGTGATTTAAAGTAGCACGAGTATAGGTATGATTGCAAATTTGTGTGTCCTACTAGTTAGCCTTGCCAACATCAAAGGAAGCTTCTCCAAGCCTTCATACTGTTCTCCTCGTGGCATATTTTACAGCAGCTGCTTATTTCTTCACTGAAACAAAAAGATCTGTAGTAGGTAACCAAGTGATGGCTGAACATGTTGAAGAAACAGGTACTGGAGTAGTAAGGGGGGGGGGATTTGAGAGACTCAGACTGGGACTGTAACTCAGAGGGCTATGTTTTGAATACAAAATGCACCCCTAGGGTCTCAATCTTGAACTCTTACTCTCCAGATAGTGGTGTTATTTTGTGCAGTTCTAGAAACATTAGGAGGCAGAGTCCTGATGATTTTCTAAGGGTAGGACTTTGATGATGGTTACACGTTGTTGTTCTTGGAATGAGAGTGTCCCCCATAGGCTCATATATTTGAATGCCTGCCCCCCCCCCAGTTAGCAGAACTGTTTGGGAAGGATAAGGAGGTGTGGCCTTCCTGGAGAAGGTGTGTCACTGCAGGTGGGCTTGTAGCTTGCAAAATCCCACGTTGTGCTCTCTCTTTCTCTCTCTTTCTGCCTGTTGCCTGTAGGTCAGGGTATAAAGCCCTCGGCTGCTGCGCTAGCACCATGCCTGCCATGTTCCCCATCATGACGATCATGGACCAACCCTCTACAACTGTAAGCAAGCCCCCAGTGAAATGTTATCTTTGTCAAGAGTTGCTGTGGTCATGGTGTCTCTTCACTGCAACAGAACAGTAACTGAGATAGATGTGGTCCAGTATTGCCCATGGTTTCTACTTTTTTCCCTTACTAAACAAGCAGCCTCCTCCTCCATGTACTTTCTATTGCTTGTGTTCTATTTCTTCATGGTCTAAGAATCAATGGACCCAAAGATTATGAACTTAAATCTCTGAAAACCACGAGTGAGTATCACACCTTCTTTAAGTTGGGAGACTCATATGGGCTACCTCTCTTAGTGCAGCCCACCTTATCCTAATACATGTTTCAGTGCACAAGAAGTAGTGAGAAATAAAACTTGACTTTTCATAAAATCTGATTTCCGTGGGGTATTTCCAAAATAAGGAGTAGATGTCTGTCTTCCTGGGTGACTGCTGGGGACACTATGTTGGAGATAAGGGACTAGTCCTGCTGAGGTCTCTGCTCCTTTGTAGTGTTGATACTCAAAGCAATTTCATTTTCAGAAAACCCCTTTGCCAAGACACTAGACCCTAGCCGTGGGATTCCAGGAATATGGGTGAGGATTCATTCCTTTGATCAACTAAGTTTGTAGAGATCCACCCAAACCAGGAACTTTGCAAAAGCTTTAGCCAGAAGGGCAAACTACCTGGGAAAGGGACTGTTGGAGTGCTAAGTTCCCTGGCTCTTGCCTTTGGACCTGAGTAACTAAAGACTCATCGTGTTCACTAGCCACTGTTTCTTTCTTCTCTTTTACATTTCTAGAGCACTGTGATGAATAGTGATGACTATGTATGGAAATATAACAAGTGACCTAAGACATTTAATATCCCACATGGTTCCAATCTGTCCATCTCTGTTTCTATTTTTCTTCTCCCAGCTCACCTGGTAAGACTCAGAAGGTGCAGCTGGAGCCTTCCTTTGAGTCTTTTTAAAACATCAATTGGAGGTCAAAACTCAAAGCAATGTGACCCTTTGCATGACCCGAAACCTGAAAGTCTCCCACGACTGTTCTGTGAATTAAATGGCCAAGTTTCAGCCACACACACACATGGCATTTGAATGAGGTTCAGGGCAGCTGAGCAGAAAAGTGAATTGAACAAAAGAAGGGCAAACTTAAACTCTGCAAAAGAGCAGGCAAATCCAACAACAAAAGGAAGCAGACAATGGCACCTTGACCATGCTGAGCTTCCCAGGCCTCCGAGGGAGTGAGGGCTGCTGAAGGTTTGGCAATAGCCTGACAAATGAGTCCAAGAAGCCAGCGTCAAAGCACCATTTGTTCCCCATATTCAATGTGTGCGGTTTGTAGCTAGCATCTCTCCATGGGATACCTTGAAGCTTTCTGACCCAACTTAAAGTCAGTTTTACTTTAGCAAATCTGTGATTTTTCATGGGGTTCCTTATATGACTTTGGCTTTTGAATTTGCCCTGGGATGGGACCAGAAATTATCCATCCCACTTCCTATTCCTTTTATTTTACAAAAGAACAGCCTATACCAATTCCCATGTCTCTTGACCATATTGTTTCCATCCACACTTGCAGTATAGACAGAACATATTACAAATGGTTACCACATCACAATATCCACTTCTTTTGAGGCATGAGATACTTCATCTTAGAGTGATGCTATTATAAACAACAAGTTTTGTCCCTGATGCCAAACTAGCTTTAGTTATTTTCTGAGCTAAACAGAAAGGTGGTACGTGCCTTCTCAGAATGCAGACCTCTAGAGTAGTAGACCATGTCTTCCATGCCCACTCTCCAGCTCTTACTTTGACGCTAAGCACAGCAGTGACAGGATGCACCATGGATGAGTATCTTACAGGCTTAGCCAACTGGGAGGCAGAAATGCCTGTTTTCCTTCATGGGTTATGTCCTCGGCCGACACCAGAGATGAAAAGGTGTAGAAGACACCACAGGATTCAGGTAGCTGGTTTTCACCCTCCTGGTTATGTCTTCTGCCGACAGCAGAGATGAAAAGGGGTAGAAGACACCACAGGATTCAGGTAGGTGGTTTTCACTCTTCTGGTTATGTCCTCTGCCGACAGCAGAGATGAAAAGGTGTAGAAGACACTGCAGGATTCAGGTAGCTGGTTTTCACTCTACTTCCTGTCCTCTACTATGACCTCACCTGGCTCACCCCAGCCTGTAGGCGCCTCTCCCCCACCCTACCTCCATTCGCTGGGGACTCCACCAAGCGTTGGTGCAGACCAGCTTCCCTCCTTCCTGTGGACCCTCTCAGTCTTTCCTGCTAGCCTTAACTCCACCCTTTATGTCAGCCTCCAATACCTGGAAACACTCTGTACCTGGTGCCCGCAGTGGCCACACAGAGCTAGGATCAGGTAGGTGATTCCCACTGTAGCCCCTGCCCTGCTTTAAGATCTCACCTTCAGCCCTGTCGCAGTCTGCCTGTTGGTGCCCTGGCTTTTGCCTCAGTTCAATTCACTGGAGACTCCAAGTCTTGGAATAGACCTCCAGGGCTCCCAACCCTTCATCCCTGTTTCTCCAGTTTAGCCTTTGTCTTTCCACAACCTGCTTGAAGGAGTCCCTCCTCCAACCACATCTCTAAGTCCCCAAGAACCCTGCATCTTGGGGTGAACAGGATCCCCTTAGCTCTTTCAAAGCCCCCTCCGCCTTTTCTCTCTGCCTTTCTCTAGTCTTCTCTGCCACTGACTGACCTGAAGTAGAAGCCTTTACCAGGCAGCTCACAGCTGCATTTTTTAAAGATAGATAGAGGGTGACAGAAACCAAGTAGTAGGACACTCACTCAACAAAGACAGGACCAGACATCAGCACTTAGAGTCACCTTAATCACCCTAACTTCAGACGCCTAGACACTTGTGCAGAAACATAAATATTAACAGACAAAACAATACACCTCCAAAAGAACCCAGTATACTCAACTACAGTGAGTCCTAAAAACTGCAAGACAGCTAGAGCATAAGACAAGGACTTCAAAATACTGATTATGCATATGTCCAAGGACATTAAAGATGATAAGAATAAATCCCTTAAGCCTTAATTAAGCCTGTGCAGCACAAACAAAAAGTGGATGAAATACTGAAAATAGTTCAAGACATGG